GGAATTAATAACAGACTCCAATACATAGTAGTTAATTTAAAACCAGTACATACCAAATACTAAAACAGTCCCAACTTCTGGTCATGTACAAATAAACAATCCTTAATTAAAGTGGATGCTTCTTTCAAGGCATTTACAAGATAAGTCACAAGCTATTCTTCTTTTAACATTAATTAATTGTATCAAACTGAGACAACTTTAATATTAACTAAGTAATAGAATAATATCCTGATTCCACAATCTCCTGGCCTAATTATCCTCATAATGATGGGGTATGGGCCCAAACCGAGACCTTTGCCCCTTGCCCCAAAAAGAATCTGGCTCCCATTTGTCTATGGGCTCCAGAAAAACCCTTATACTTCACTTCACTGGCCTATATGGTTTATCTTCAACAAACTTCTCACCCTAGCTGAAAAAAGACCTGGGCTGAACTCCCTTCGGGCAGGTCCCTTGTGTTGTGACCTCAGGGTCCCAGCACCCACAAACCTCTAGACCTCATCATAACCAACAGGAATATATTAGTAACAGATATCAAGACAAAATACTTAATTCTGAAATTCTAGGCCAAATAACTCAATCTTATACTTGCATCTTACTATAATAACCTCAGATGTTCCTGCATCAATCTATTGTTTAATAGATTTGATATTTATGCTTAGAAAACTTATGATTATAGGAATTTTCCATGAAAGAACAGGGACATTACTAAAGTAAGGGAACAATGCTTCCTTAGATTCATGTCAATTCCAGGCAGAAGTTATATAATGACCAATTGCATTGGGACAGGTTTAAAGTCTGCCAGGTATCATAGTGGGGAAATTGAGTCAGGAGAATCCTACCTCAGCCATGCAGAAAAGTCATTCTCCTGACCTTCCCATGAGAACACCCTCTTGCACCTCATAGATGCAGTTCACAAACCTCTTCGCAGGTTGCTGACGTCATGGGTCAGTAGCTCAACCAGTTCCTTGTTAACCATGCCTGGAGTTAGACTCAGAATAATAGTTCATTAATAGTCCCCAAGGTCTTGGATAGCAAATTCCCATCATTAGAACTATAGTTTCACATTAATTAGGGAACATCTCCAAAGTGACATCCAAGTAGTTTGCTTAACTTCCTGTACCTGTTCTGGTTCCTAATAACATCCTGAGTAAAATCAAATTTCCATTAAGATCATAAGTTGCTACTCCAAATAGATTTGCCTCTCTATTTCTAAAGCCTCTCTAACCATTCTTATTCTGAAAGAATGAGACACTTTCAGGACTCAAATCTTATACATAGATAAGTTCAAACAGTAATTTTAACTCTTGCTAGGCCATGGAATGAATTCAGATCAAAACAGTAAAATCTTTCCTACTTACAGTTTATTAGCGAAGTTTAGATGCTTTAGTATTAATCAGTAGCCTTAGATCTCTGATGCTGCTTCCATTGAGATTATTTCTTTAAAAGCACCCAGTTAAATCCAATCCAAGGACACAACAAACCCAGGAATTAAACTCTAAGTTCATAATAGGTTTGGACATAATTTTCTTACAAACAGAAATTTAGTAGGCCCTCTAAAGTAATATCAAAGATTTCATCAAAATTTTTCTTCATAAAAGTATCTCCCTTTCTTAAAAACAGTTCACAATTCCCTAATTAACATAAAATTCCTAGTTACCTAAATTCTTTAGTCAAAAAGGTGTCTGTAACGAGCCACTTACTCAGTAAGAGTTCCACAACACAAAACTCCTGCACAAAGTTGATAAGAATTATGAGATTTTACAAAATCCCTTTTTTTCATAATTAGCAAGTTTCTTTTTACACATACGCCAAAAATATTTTTACCAGTACTTCACTTAAACAATAACTCCAAATAGCTTAGTTAACAATTTTAAGCTTCATAAATGAGAACCAAATAATTCCAACTAAAACTTTCCTTTAAACATAGAAAAAACTTGGAATACTTCACTAATTCCAAATCAGTACATATCAAGTTGCTCACAATAAAATGTTTGTACCACAGGGCATGCATCACAAAATTATTTCCACAATGGAAATAAACTTTAAATGAAGGTGACTTTTTTATTACTGCAAAAATATTCCATAAATTACCTCCCTCTAAGAAAATTGCACTGAAATTCTTTTCCCCAAATTAAAGATGTCTCTGATTTAGTTTCAGTAATTAATAGAATAACAACTAGGTCCCTCAATCAGTTGTACCAATACCCAATTACTCTTACATTATTTTGAAACATTTAAGGACTTTATTCCATACAGACATATATCTAGTAATAGGCAGATGTCTAGGCCAATATCCATTTCCTAAGTTGCTTAAGAAATAGAAAGGAATATAATCTTAGGCTGAATAGCTCAAATCTTAAACACACACTTTCATATAGTAGCTCAGATGTATCTCAGCCTTAGTCTGTGGGATAATGATTCAACATTATGCTTGTACATTTGTTTCACAAACTTTTTCCCTCTGTCTAATTATTCCCATATTATTCAGAAAGAATGTTCTATTCCAGGGATTTAATCTTTCACATGACTATGCAGGAGTAGTCATTTACCCAACTATTTGGGATATGTAATGACTACACATTCAGATTGAAAACAGCAAGATTTCACATACATGCATTGTGCTCATATTTTCCACTGTCTATTTGCTTTGATTACAGAAATTTGATGTAAAAAGGAAAAGCAAGGACATCACAATTCTCCAACCATGCAGTATCAATTCCACCTTATAGCCAGACTCAGGAATAGTCAGGTGGGAAACATTCTTTTTCAAAGGAACACAATGGGGAAACTGAGCCAGGAGGATCTCGTCCTAGGCTAAGACTAAGACCATCCTCTCAGTTTTTCTAGATGCAAACCTCCACTTTTAACAGTCACATTCTCTCTGAGTAGCTTGTAGCATTTCTTTCAGATGGTAGATCATTGACTATTGATTATGGATGGATTTTTATGATCCATCAGACAACTCAAAACACAATTCATTATGGTCCCAAGAACTTTTATCTCAGATGGCAAGTTTCACTAATCAAAAATTTACCAGGACACACATCTCAAATTTAAATTTATCCTTGTACAAAAGCCGATTACTAGAGATCATTTCTTTGTACTTGAAATTCTCAGAAAGCCAAGTTCCCCATTTAGGAGCTCCATTACCCGAACAAGCTCTTTTTCAACATACATACCGAGTAATCAATTACCAGTTTTAAGTTTTAGCATTAAAAAAAAATCAACAATTTTAAATTTTCATAAGTGATAACTAAATTGTTTTAGCTATAATACAAACGATAAAATTCAGATAACAACAATTTTGTTTCCAGATTATCACATATAGAAATTATCTATCTTATTACTCTTAATGCTTTTAACAATCATTTTTTCCTTATAAAACAGTAAACTTAAATCAAATCAGACCAGAATTTGAAATTGCTAATGATAAACATTTAGAAATATTTTTGTTTTATGTCTAATATTCTTGGCCCTTTAAAAGGAGATACTCTCCACACATTTATGTTCCCTTAAAAAGACAAGTGGTGATAATTCCTGCTCTAAATAATTCTCTCCCTTTTTCTTTCCTGCTTCCTTAAAGGAGCAAAGAAAAAGTCCCTTCTCCTTAAAGGCTTATCAGATAAAGCCATCCTCCTAAAAATCTCAGGCTTCAGCAATTTGAATTTGAATTTGAATTAACTGGGCTTAGTCAGTTTTCTAGCCAGATTTAACAAAGCCCTCCTACAGGTTTATCTTGAGAGGTGGATGGCCTTTTAACCTTCTATAACTTTATGGGTTTTCAAATCAAGCTACAAAATTTTCATTTTCTATCCTTCTACTTAAACCCAAACTTCCTCACACCTTCTCAACTTGCTTAAACCATCAAAAGCTGGCACAAAGGCACCCAGAACAACCATCCAAGGGTGGAGAACTTAAGAGCACATGACTTAACTCAAAATACCCTACCCCCACCCAAATTATACTCACCAAGGCTGGGCAGCTTTCCTTTGCAGTTCTGAAATCTGAAGGGAGATAAAAATTGCAAATCCAGGGAACAGTACTTTCTCTCTCTCTCCCCAGATAGCTTTTATAATGTTTAAAACTCTTATTTTTGCAATTTTAAACACATTGCCTTGATACCAGATACATTGGCGGGAAAGATACAAACACAGTAATTTAAACCCTTACTTAATTTTTTTTTTTTTTGCAGACATAAAATATTTACAGACAGACAGACAACATGCACACAATTCTAATTCTCACCTTGACTGGTCAAAAGAAACTCATTTTGTCCCAGGGTCCCCTTTGAATGAGTAAAAGTTTTTCCTGGGTAGTCCCACTATCACAATTTGCTAGCGAGTGTTCTCCCCAGTGGGCTACTTTGGGATATCTCTGGAAGGGGTTCCTTGAGTCCTTTCCCTGGTGCCTTTTCCTTTGAATTCTTCCCTCCCATCTCTAAGTCAGGTCTATTAATCAAAGCTTAGTTAACCCAGACAAAATGACTCCCAGAGATAAGGGATTCCCAGATCAAGGAAGGCAGAATTTTGCCACTAATTTTGTACTTTTGTTCAGTATCAACTTGAGTGATCCTCGGCCATTTTCCCTTTCAGTGCCAAGGTTCAACCTCTCTCTGCAGCAACCGCTGCCTTCTTAGGGATTTCACGAGCCCTGAGGAAAGTGAAATCTAAGTAACCGGGACCATTAAAATCAACAGGAGTACTCTTCCCAGTCCATTTAGATTTTACCTTTTTCAGTGGTAGATTGGATTCCAGACGAGTCCCCATTTTATAAAGAAGACCCCAGACTCAGTTCCAAAGACTGCTGTCTCAAAGATTTTTTTATTAAAGAGGTTGAAGTGCATTCCTTTCGATTCTCGAGAGAAGCAGGCACACCTCCTTTGAAGGGGAGAGTGCTCTGAGGGCAGAAACAAGAGCAAGCTTTATAGTCAGTAATTGCCTAACTCATCCTTTCAGGATCGGGATTGGTCCTAATCCTTCTGGGTTACAATCTTCCTTATATGCCCTGTTCATATATTTTACATACATGTGATCCCCACCACTTAATATACATTTTGTGCCTGGAATTGTTGATACTCCCAGCCCCACCAGGCAGAGAAGTTAGACCTAATTACGCTTGTGCAGTAGCAAAAGGCTGCCGACCTGGAGTTAACCCCAGCTTTTCAAACTGGATCATCTGGGGTCCCTGTTTGTGATTTCCTATCATCCACTTGTTATTTCCTGATTGATTGACTTTGAAGTGGTTTCCTGTCTTTTTACAACAGTCCTGATTTCTATCTATCTACTTATGTGGAAACTTTATTTCTCACAGAGGGGAAGAGGGGAGAGATGAAAAGGAATGAGTGAACCTTACTCTCATTGGAATTGGCTTAAGGAAGCAAGAATGTACACACTCAATTGGGTATGGAAATCTATCTTACCCTACAAGAACGTAGGGGGTAAGGGGATAAGGGGGAGGGTGATAGAAGGGAGAACAGATTGGGGGAGGGGTTAGCCAAAAGCAAACAATTTTGAGGAGGGACAGGGTGAAAGGAGAGAATAGAATAAATAGGGGGGTGGGATAAGATGGAGGGAAATATAGTTAGTCTTTTACAATATGAATATTATGGAAGTGTTTTACATGAATACAGCAGTATAAACTATATTGAATTGCTTCCCTTCTCAATGAGGGTGGGTGGGGAGTGAGGAAGGGAGAAAATTTGGAACTCAAAGTTTTAAAAATGAATGTTAAAAATTGTTTTTAGATTTCTGCTTCCAGGAGCCAAGATGGTGGAGTAAAAAGGTAGTCGCTCTCAACCTCCTCTATCAACCTCTAAAAGCCCAGAAAATATCTCCCCAGGAAAAACCCTGGAACAGCTAAACCAGAAGAAAGACAGGGAGCAGCAGTGCAGTAGCCCAGGTAGCTTGAGGGAATAACAGGAAAGGCCCCTCTTGCCCTGGGGGAAAGGGAGCAGTATGGAACAGGAGGTGCCCAGCC